TAATAGTTTATTAATAATTCTCTAAATTGTAACATTACCCATTGCTGGTACATATAATATGTATTTATAACTACAGTTCTACAAATTAACTGCTTTATAATATTTTTATAACATTTTAATGTTCTCCGTAAGGAACTGTAGTATGACATATTACAGACATGTCGTTTGCTAAATCAGTGGCTTTCTTTGCATTATTGTAAGGAGTACTACAAGCCACCCAGTGGGACAGTTATACATGTACCACTGATGCTTCAGGCCACCTGATGGGATAGTCAGTTCAAGTCAGGGATGCCTGACAGCAAGACTTACGAATTAGGGCCCCATCGTGAATGTGTGAACTGTTAAAACCCACCACTTGTCAACTTCACACCCAAACATGTCTCCTTAAATCATACTTATTTTCCAGATAAATACAAGGCCATAATTCTGCCTAACACAATAAAATTTGCATAACACTGAGACATCTCTTTCTCAAAGTCTCAGCAGTTCTAGTATTTTTTAAAGTTCAAGTCTATTCTGAGATACGTGGCAAATTCTTAGTTGTAAGTGTCTGTAAAAAGAAAAAGCATTACATAATCCCAAGGTACAATGGCACAGGAGAAACATTCCAGTTCCAAAAGAAGGAATAGAGGGCTAGAAAAGAATTGGACCAAAGCAAGACCATAGCCCAGGAGGCCAAATATTATGTCTTATAGTTCCATATTTGACATCCCAGGCATATTTTGGTAAGATGTGTGTTCCAGAGGAGCTGTAGGGGTTCAACCAGTGGCTTTGCCTGTTAATAGCCATGTGGCATCTTTCTTGGGTGGGCTCCACTCATCTTGGGCTGTAGTTTTCCTTAGCAGACGTTCCACGTTTCTGGTATCTACAACTTGCTGAGGGTCTCCATTTCATCTTTGGTTTCATTCTCATAACTTCACAGGCTGCCCTCCTAAGAGTTCCTTGCTTGGTCTGCTAGGTTTCCTTTGAAGTCTAGGTTAGCCTTCCTAACCCCTCATCTCTCACATTCTGTGTGCTGGTAAAACCAGTATTATGTGGACAGTACCAAAGCTTGCTGCCAGCTGTAGCAGTAGGTAGTCCCACTTGGACCATGGCTATAGTGGATTCTGGGTGCCTGGATGTCTGAGCAGAGTGAATTTTGGAACCAGTTCTTAAGGAGACCCTTGTCAAGCAGGCATCCCAGGAACTGTCCTCAAGTGAAAGGTTTACGCTTTTGACCCCTTGAGCCTGAATTGGAGACAGGGTCTTGCTGGTTTCTGAGGCACCTACAGACCATCTCCTTATCTCTGTACCAAGACTTGATTTTGTTTAATGGCACCAGTCTCTTCAGTAGCCATGCCTTCTTTGGTGATAGCATTACTCATAGTTTCCTTAGGTCTAAAATACAAATGTTTCAGAATTTTCTGTCCTACCTTTTGCTGCTAATTTTTACTATACATTTAAGTGAAAGCCAGCAGTACCCATATCACAGCCTGAATGTTGTACTACTGTGAAATTCCCATGCCAGATTAGTCCACTTCCCTTGATTTCAGTCTCCAACAAGGTCACAGGATATGTGTAAAATATCCATGAGTTATTTTTCTGAGTGAAGCATACATGGCCTCTTGTCCAAAGGCCTCTGGAGTCCTTGTTTGTAAGTGAATCCACCTGAGCATTCCTATCAGTATTGTTGTTTTCTGAGTTCTAGCAAGGCTCTGCTTATAGCTTTTTTATAGCCCACATCTCCAAACTCTTTCAAATTTCTCCTGAGATCTCCATTTCCAAAAGTTTCTAAACTACAGATACAGATAAGGGCTATCAACATCTCATTCCAGGTACCAGTTTTCTGTATTAGCTTTCCTGTCATTGGGACACAGTACAAATACCCACAGCTTAAAGAAGGAGAGGCTTAATTTAACTCATAGTCACTTGGTTAGCTGTCTGTGAGGCCGAAACATCATGGTAGAAGGAAATGGCTAAACAAAGCTGCTCAGTTCCTGGCGACAGAAAGGTAGAGCAGGGAAACAATACTGGAACAGAAAAGGGCCAGGAACTTTAGTACCCAATGTCATGCCTCCATGACCCACCCAGCCAGGGTCACTCCAAGCTAGTCAGGACACAGTCAAGCTTAACCATCAAAGCTGATATGTGCACTCATATACATGTACATATGTGAACCAAAGCTGAAATTTGTATGAAATGTTGCTTATATTTGCCACATTAATGCACTCTAATATTTTCTACCTTAATTCTTTAAATACTAGACCTGACCTTTTAAATTGATCTTTATGTTACGTAACTGGGATCTTTATGTTACATAACTGGGATCTGTACTATTAAAAAAACTAAACCCAGCACATACTATTCCTGCATGGAAACATGAGCCATGGGTATTGGAAGTCCTTTTGTTTTCTTACAGCATAAATCCTACCTCTAGCCTACCTATTAAAGGATGTGGTGTTGTGCTTAATTTCAGAGAGGATTATTTGTACCAATATTGATTAGAACAGGGAAACCTCAAATTTGTTTCTTTCCTCTCAATGCTTGTCAACTATGACAAAAAAAAAAAATTTAGGATTGTGGGAAGGATCATATGATTTTTCTCTAGATAACTTAAAACAGTTTTCTTGGATTGAGCCAGGGCCTCCAAAGAGGTATGTTTTAGCGCACTGTTTTCTGTCCTTTAGAGTTCTTTGGTTTGAACTGCATCTAGGTTCTATGTTTCTAGTCCATGTGGGAGGAGGGTAGCTTACAGAACTTACTGCACTTCCTTCAAGATGTTGTTCACTTGGTGTGAGCCATCTTTCCAAAGCTCTCATGAGAATTGCTCTTTGCGGTCTGCTTTCATATCAGGAACACTGTTATTTAAAACCTGGTTTGTTTTTTGTGTGAGATACTCTGTGATTCATGTAATGGATCATTTTGCCCCATTTATATTGACAACTAACAAGTGGAGAGCTAAATTTTGAGCCTATATTTAGAACCAAATCATATGCACTTTTTTCTATTGTCCTCTTTATTTTGTCTGCTCCAGCCCTTAGTAAATTATTAGTCCCAAATTTCTAATATATTAAGAAATACCATACAATTTCTTGCCATGTTTTTATAGGAACAAATAGCTAGAAGTAGCTGTTTGAAAATTTAAAAGCCAAATAAACTTACTTGTTACAATTGAAAAATAGCATCATAATTTTGTAAATTTTGTTTGTTGCTGTGTGGTTGATTTTTAAAATCGTATGAATAAACAGTTAAAATGTATTTTATATTAGGTTTACAAAATTAAATTAATTTTATATTCTGTTGCTTTAGAAACATTTAATATTTTTGGTATCAAAATAAAATATGATTTACTTTTATAGATGAACCTTGTAGATCTCTCAAATCTTTTTGGTTAAATATAAACTAATAAATACTTGAATTAAAATGTTTTCAGTTATTTCAGTTATTTTAACAATAATAAAATTATAAGAATTTTGTAAGTCATATATTTAACATTTATGTTCATATATTTAACGTGAAAGTGTTACATGTAGAGCTTTTGTACATTTTGAACTTACCTCAGAATTTCCCAAATAAATTTCTAAACATTTGTGCTTAATATTACTTGCCATAATGCTATAATTTTAGCTGACCTGAGTTTAATTCTGATTTATAATTTTATCTTAGCCATTTATATTCTTAGATCTCTGTTGTTTTTTTTTTTTTTTTTTTTTTTTTTTGGTACTGGGGCTTGAACTCATGACTTCACATTTGCCAAGCAGGCACTTACGCAGCTGAGCTAAACCCTTAGCCCTATTTTCTTAGATCTCTATACATACTATTGGCAAACTTATAAAAGAGCTAATGCTCTTTTACATTTTAAATAGTTTTAAAAAAATTTGAGCTTTATTAAGACTTTAGAATTAATAAAGCAGACTAGTCATGGAGATATCTTTACAAAATATGAATTTTTCAGTTATAAAATGATAGTCAACCTTATAAAATTTTTAAATTAAAAATTATCCAAGAAACAGACAAGTGGTTATGCCGATTATGGTTAGAAAAAGGTATTTTAGGCATTTCAGGCAATATTGTAGTTCAAAATAGAGAACTATAGTGAAAATGTTAGTATGGGAACAAACCATATTTATGGAAACCTATGTACCAATTTTTTAGTACTTAAATAGATAATATGCACAATTTAGCCTTTATTCAGTATCCTCTCAAAGTAGAAGCATTTTAGATAGCAAAATTATTTTAAATAGAATTATTTTGAAGACCCCCCCCCCTTATGATCCTGGAACTTTTTAAAATAATTCCTCGAAGTTTACTAAATTGACTATTTATTTGGTGTTAGTAAATTCATGCTTTGCTTGTATCATTTTCTTTGCTACTTTTGTCATTGTTGAGACAAAATACCCAACAAACACAAATTAAGGGAAGAAAGGTTTATTTAGCTCAGTTTGTAGCAGTTTCAGTCAATACTCAGTTAGCTCCAAGACCGAGTGGGACTGCAGACAGGTATTTTACAGAGGAGAAACGGTTCATGGTGGACAGAAGGTAGCAAACAAGCAAGGAGCACGACATACCTCTTCTGTTCCTTATATTATATTCAACAACTGGGATTAGGGCTATACCAGACCAGTTAGTGGCCTGATTTAGTAATCACCCACCTTTACTCAGAGTACCCTTAGTCCTAGCATTGCACCACGAATCAGCCACATACTCTATAGGTTTAGCTGCCTCTGGAAAAACCCCACCTATGACTACGTGAGGCTTTGGGGGACATCTAGACACAAACCATAACATTTAGGAGAGTAATTTTATGTGTCGTTTATACTATAGTTACAGAGCAGTTCTGTGACTAATCTGCCATTTAGTTTAGTGTAACACAACAATTTTTTTCTATAAACATTAAAAAAGTTGTTGGAATCATTGATCTAAGAATGGAACAAAAAATATTTTTTATCCTTTATAATGTACTTATAAAAGTAGCATATATCATTAGTAAAGTGTCTTAATATTTTGATTTATTGTTACAGGGTTCATGCTTGAACCAGACCCAGAGCATAGGCCTGATATATTTCAAGTATCCTATTTTGCATTTAAATTTGCCAAAAAGGATTGTCCTGTTTCCAACATCAATGTGAGTAGCGTTGTAAGTAGGGTATGAATTTAAAATCTGTTTTATCATGACATGTAAATAGATTCTGAGAGTTAATTCTTTATGACATGTGGTCTGATGGTATGATTGCAATTGTATTTTTGGTAAAAAGCCACATTCCCCAAATGATGTCTTGAAGTACCCTGAAGGTTATGTTTCTTTTAAGAACAAATCAGTGTGTTTCTTTTATGTATAACTTAGCCCACTACTTAAAAGAATAAGGTGAACCTTTGATTTTTGCTTTTACAGTATGAATTTAATATTTTCCCTGTTGGGGCTGAAACTATTCTGTTTTAACATTCTAATGAAAGTAGCTTTATTTGCCATTTATCTTGATTTTTAAATTTCTACTTAAGTAATACTTACTGATTACCTACCCCAAGTCAAATATTTGATACAAACAAACAAGTAAAGCCTTCTGTCAGCCCTTTCTGAAAATTATTTGTGATACAGTATTTAGAAACTTTATGCTTACTCTTGGCATTAACTTCTTTTTCTAAAGTGTAAAACAGTCATTGATTTAAAAGTGTAATATTTGTTTTTGCCTAAATTTTACTCACCTGTGCATTGCATACAGTGATATTTTGTGTATTTTCCAAAGGTTTCTGGGAGATAAGTATATGAAAGTGACGTGTATAACATCTAATGATATTTACAGACTAGATTTGGCAGGTATATGCGAATGATTTTTAGGTTTCTGATGGGAAATAATAGTATCTCAGAGGTAGTACTTTTTAAGTTCAGTAGTATGTCCACAGCTTAATAAACCTTTTGGACTTAAAAACTAAAATGAAGTTTTATTTTTTTCTTCCAAGAATTCTTCGATTCCCTCAGCTCTTCCTGAACCGATGACTGCTACTGAAGCAGCTGCTAGGAAAAGCCAAATGAAAGCCAGGTAGGAAAAGCTATGATAAAATTGAGAGGGCATTTTAAAAAAAGTGGTTCAGTAGATCTTGATTTAATCTTAGCAAATGTCATTGATGTAAATATCATCTTTGTCCATTAAAAAATGCATGTTGCCTACTGCCCGTGGAATAGTTTAGATAGCAAATGTTTTAGTTATTTTTCTCATTGATAAGACAAAATATGCAACATCCAGAGTTATAAAGGAAAGGTGTATTTGGCTTATAGTTTGTAGCAGTTTCAGTTCCTAGTTGGCTGGCTCCAAAGCAGGGTGGCGTGGCAGACCGACATCACGGAGGAGAAAGAGTTTATGACAGAGACAGTAAAGCAGTGAAGTAAGAAGCAGCAAATGATGGTAGCCTTCTTTTTGTCCCTTATATTCTATCCAGGCTACTCACCCTGAAGTAGGTAGCACTAACACTCACGGTGGACCATTCATATTCCTAGCATCTCAGGTTAAAGAATTCCAGTATCACATCCCTAATTCTACCATCACACACTGTAGACCTAGCTACCTCCAGAAAGCCCCACTTTATGCTCACATGAAGTTCTGGGGGGACATCTAGACATAAGCCATAACAGCAAGTATAATAAAATCAGCTTTTAAAAATATTAGATACAGGATTTATATCTAATATAAAAGCCTGAATTATGTGAGCTGGGCATGGTGGTGCACAGTAGCAATCCCAGCATTTGGGAGGCTGAGGCAGGAAGATTGCCTTAAGTTTGAGGCCAGCATGGGTTACATAACAAGGCTAATTTGAACTGTGTAGTGAGACCTTGTCTCAAAAAAGAGATGCATCATGTTAACTTTGAATGACTTTTTCTGTACTTATTTTTTTGAATGTAAAAGTTAATAAACAGAAGTTAATAAACAGAATTTGTTAGATTTTCAGACAATACTGTGTTTGGGGAGATTTCTGGGTTAAAGCTTTTTTGTATTATATCTTATGATAATTGTTTTATTTGACATACAAAAATGTATTATATGCAAGATACAGATAGTGGAATTACTAAGAGAAGTAGTTATTTCCAGTGAGTTGCAGTGGTAACTGTAAGTGATTACAATCTGATATACAGTATGCCGGGAGTGTAAAGGAAGGCAAAAGACTGGGAGCGGTGAAAACAGAAGGATGAAAGCATTTCTTGAAGGATGAATCCTCAGTTCCCTGGAGGGTTGGAATGAACTAAAGCAGGCAGGCAGTTTGGGCAAGAGTGGTCCTGGTGATACTGCGGACTAGAGCATAAGGGGAAGTCCTGGGGAGCAATGGGGAAGGAAGCTGATGTCACGGGTAAATACCAGTCATGAGCAACTGTGTTCTTACAGCCTGCTAAGAAATTAGGACTTTGGCCTTGAGGCCAATGAGTCTTCAGTTTTCACTTAACTCTGGCTTGGTTGTGGATGTGCTGGACATGATCTTTACTCATAAATTGTTAAACTATCATTTGTGACTGACTTTTAAAAATATCTAATATCATTCTAAAAATATCTTCATTCACTTGAATTTCAAAGTGGTATCTTGAGGGAGAGGTAGAGTAATGTCATGTCTAACCTGCAGGAATCTGCATGATCACCAGTCTCTCCTCTCTGTGGTAAAACTTTAATTAGCAGCCACTGCTGTTACTGAGTGGTAATTATGAATTGTTGTAAGGTTTGTGAGTTGAATTTTTTGTTACTTGTTTTTAATAGTTGACCAATCTTTAAGAAAGTTAGTTGCACATTAAAAAATGAGTCAACTGAACAAGAATGATTTGACTTTTTTTACTGTGATATATGTTATAGCTATACAGTTACAAGTGAAATGTCATTTTGATTTGCAGTGCTTATTTTAAACATTAAAATATACATGTGTCAAAAAATAATATGCCTGTTAATGCGTATAGTTTTTATTTTAATAAGAGTTAAGTTAAACTTGTAGAATTTATTTATAGTATATTAAACCTGTGCCATATATATATATTAAAATACAAGGTTCAGTGGTCCTAATTGGTCATTCAGATAAATTTACTCTGTTAAAGTCACTAGAGAACTTGAAAAAAATCTGAGTGTGTACAAAGCTTAATATTACAAATTAGGTTTTTCATGGAAATGACATATTTTAAGGGAAGAATCTTTACAGAGTTAATTTTATTATTCATCAGGCTTTTACGGTTATTTTAACTCACCCACCCTGCATTCAGTCTGTGGCACCCTATTTTACTTTCAGAAACCCAAACTTGGCATATATTCTTGATGTTGTTAAACATGTGAAGGTTATTTGATGGATGTGCCTGAAAGATGGAAATGTGCATTGGCAGGAGGAAACCTTGAAGGATTTTAAAGAGGAGAGAGGTCTGAGTTTTAAGGAAGATTGTTCAGGTGATAGGAAAGCACTGAAAGTGACACTGGGAAGGTTACCAGGGTTAAAAGTGAGGCAGTGCAGCAGTGTAGCTGTGTTAATGCAGTAACTGTTGTCGTTCAGTCCAAGTTTTGCTTCTCTTTGCCTGATCTGTTCAAGGTATTTTTTCACATCCTTTCCTTCACAGAGAATGCTTAGTCTTTTTTGTTTGTAGTTTAATGAAATATTTAATTAAAAATTTTTATCTCTAGTGCCTCTATGAAGTTTTTTTGAGCCAAATTAAGGATAAAATTACTTTATGAAATTTTTGGCAGCACTAGCTTGGCTCTGAGTATTTTACTCTTACATTTTATTATGTTTTCACCAATACTTTCCCTGTCTTCCTATGTATCCTGTAAATTCTTTGAAGATAGAATGTTGTAAAGTGGACATCAATAATGTACCATCGATATTAATACATTATTAAATAAGATACTAGATTTAACAAGGTCTTCTGACTTGTAACATGCTTTTTAGAAGATTCCTCTATGATCATGCATGTTGTATATTTCTAAAGAGCACTCTAGACCAGTAACGTAGAAAGGTGAAGTTTGGCCTGTGAAACCTACTTAATAACAAATGAAGAGCTAAACAAAAAGTTTGTATACAGTATTTCTTCTGACTTGTTTGAGGTTGGGTAGTATACCATTGGTTTTAGAACCACATTCTAAAATTTGAATTCATGATACTTATTAAAATGAGATGTAGTTGTTATATGTATAAATGATCTTTTATTGCCTTAGCTTAGTTTTCATATGATTTGTTCAGTATGCACCTGTGCCATTTAAAACATGTTGTATTTTAGAAGACAACACATGTATCATATATTTCTATGCTTTTCTGAAATCTATTGATTTAATTTTCTTTCCTGTTGGAAAGATAGTGGGCTCCCTCTTGCGGTGCATGTAGGTATTAGGAAAGAATTTTACAGGTATGCAATGTAGATAAGGTTCTCTCTAAGTACAGTGGCTGTGAGCTTGACAAATGATTAAAACTTTTAAGTATTAAATATTTGAAAATATAGTGAAATAATTTCGAAAAGAGATTTTATGGCAAATTATAAAAACTGACCTACTTGAAAAAGTATTTGAGTTTATATTGAATTTATAGAAAGAAAAATGATAAATATGTAAATTAAAGAGTCCCAGTTTATTTTATAGTTTTCTCTTCAAAGAGTTTGGTTTTTAGTTTTTTTTTTTCCTCTGAAACCCTAAGAGAAGGTTTTTGTTTTCTTTCAATCTCATCTCATTTCCTTCAAGATAATCTTTGGAACTATACTGTTTTCTGACACCTTCTACTGCAAAGTGTAAATGGTAACATCGTGTTTTAAAGAAAATAGTTTTATTTTTTTCCTCTCTGATCATCACTAAATGTAGTATCTGATCATCACTAAATGTAGACTTAGGAAGCCAAGAGAATGAAGTGATCATTTATAATAATTAAGTGCATCTGTTGAGATATTTTATAGAAAAATATTAGAAATAATCTGAACATTTAGAATGAAATGTATTCTTTTGTTGTAGAATAACAGATACCATTGGACCAACGGAAACCTCAATTGCACCAAGACAAAGACCAAAGGCCAACTCTACTACTGCCACTCCCAGTGTGCTGACCATTCAGAGTTCAGCAACTCCTGTGAAAGTCCCTGTTCCTAGTGAATTTGGTAACCACAGACCAAAAGGTAATGTAACTTTGTCCCTTCTTAGTCAGTGTAAATAAGTTTTTTTATGGTCTCATTTTCTGAGCTATAAATTATTAGCAAATTAATATTGAAAGTAGGTAATACGAAGTTTCGAGTTATTTTCTACTGGTGTCTAATAAACTTGGCTGTCTTTCTGAAAGTAAAGAAAGTGAAGTTATTGGCAGTGTAAAAGCATGATACGAAAAGCTCACCATTTGCTTTGGTTCTATGAGTATAAACTCATTTCTAGAGTTACCAACTAGTAGGAAAGAGGTAGATAATCATAAGATTCAAGAGCATAGAAAATTCTGTGTTGTGCTGGAAAGAAGGTATTTGAATCTCTACGCTTACAAAATTATATCTTTGCATTGAATCTAGAGTTTGGTGAAGAAGTAATGTGAACATGGCAGGGTAAAATCTGGTCTCATTTGATTTTGAGAAAAAGTATTTTTCTAATCTAAAATATTTTCTAAAAATTATGATACAGAGTGGTACTGAAAAAATTATTTTCCAGTCAGGCATGCTGGTATATGCTTTTAATCCAGCTACTTGGGAGGCTAAGGTTGGAGGATTATGAGTTTGAGGCTAGTCTGGGGCAACTTAATGAGACTGTGTCTCTAAATTAAGGAAGGGCCAAAGGTATAGATCAGTGGTAGAGTGTTTACCAAGTATGAATTAGGCTCCAATTCTTTTTCTTTCTCTTATTTCTATGTTTTATTTTCAAGAATAATTCAACTGAACTTTTTTCATATAATTAGAAGAATTAGAAATCATTTGGAAATTGTATTCACAGACATCTTGTACTTAGGCCTGGGGAAGTTTACTAACATTTATGAAACCTTGCTTCCTCTTCATACTCTCCCTTCATTCCTTTCTTCCCCCTTTGATTGAGCAGTTATTGTTCTAGTCAGGTTTGCATCAGTGTAACAGAATACCTGAGGAAAATAATTTAATTAGAGCAGAGGTTTATTTTGGCTTACAGTTTTAGAAGTTTCAGCCCTCGATTGGGTGGGCACATTGCTCTTAGGCCTCCATTTTAGGTCCTGGATAGCAATGTAGGGACCACGTGATGGAACAAATTACTTACTTTATGGCTAGGAAACAAAAAGGGGAAGAAGCTGAGGTCCCACATCCCCTTTCATAGGCCAGCCCTAGTGACCTACGGATCTTCCATAAGTTTTATCTCCTGAAGTTCCGCAGTCTCCCAGTGGTGTCATTGGGGACTAAGCTTTCAACACATGGATCCCTGGGTTGTGAGAAACACCCAAAACTATTCGTTACAATTGTATTTGAATAAGGGTTAGTCACTGGAAGAGAACATAGAAATTATAGTGTATTAGGTATTGTATTCCTTTTTTTGGATAATGTATACTTTTTAGGTAATTTCAAAAGTTTAGCTATAGAATATTTTAAAGGTGAAATTTATAGAGCTTGTAAATAAATGTCAGGAGATAGTGTTAACAGATTCACTACAGTAAGCATTTAATGAACATCTTCTGTATAAAGGACTCTTTACATTTCCAACAGATACATATCGTTCTGCCCTTCAGGGTCCTAGGCTAGAACATAGCCATGTAAACCATTAATATGTACAAGACAGAATGAAGTAATTGAGTGGAATTGTTAGCTGAAGGAAAAGGAAGAGACTTGAGCTGAACTTTAAAGGACAAGAATGTGAATAGGTGGAAATTGCACTAGAGATTCAGAGACTCCCATCAGTGAAAATACTCATAATAAACATGATATAATTGAGATATGTGGGTCAAACTGATAGGGCTGGTGTGTTTATGGATAGATGAAGCATAAAGAAATTTTTCTAGGATTTGTTCATAGTTGTAGAAGACAAAAGTTAAGTTTCCTAGGCACTTAAAATTCCAGTAAATTCTTTAGACTATGTATATATAGAACGTGATAGTTAAATATAGAGATGTAACCATTTTGTTGAAATTATTAATGGATTAATGAAAATTTTTGGAAACCTATCTTAGGAGCCTTGAGACCTGGAAATGGTCCTGAAAGTTTACTGGGGCAGGGTCCCCCTCAGCAACCACCACAGCAGCACAGAGTCCTCCAGCAGCTCCAACAGGGCGACTGGAGGTTACAGCAGCTTCATTCACAGCATCGCCATCCTCACCAGCAGCACCAGTTACTTCAAGATGCTTACATGCAGCAGGTAACCTCCTGTTACTTTGAATATATAGGGTGGGTAGTGCTATGAAACTCATACAGCAGTAGAATATCACTAAATTGTGTTTTGTATCATAGGCACTGCCTTAGTTACTTTTTTTTATTCTGAAACAAAATGTAAAAGTTAAAGGACCCAAGGCTTATGTGGCTTATAGTTTGTAGAGGTTTCAGTTTATAGTTAACTGGCTCCAGTACAAGGTGGCATGGCAGAGGTGCATCACAGAGTTAACAGAAGGCAGCAAGCAGCAGGTGACAAACAGTGACAAGGGACCCTCCTTCTATCTCTTATATTTTATCTAGGACACTGTTAGAGTCAGTGGCATTCACACTCTTAATCCTAGCACAAAATCGTGAATCAATTCCAGCACTACATCCCTGATCCCAGCATACGCAGTGTAGAATCAACCACCTCTGAAAAAATCCCACCTATGACCTTATAAACCTTTGGGAGACATGTAGACACGAGTGATAACATTCTGCCTCTGAACCCCCAAACACACACTTCCTTTTATGCAAAGGCATTTAAGTCCATCTGTAAGAGTTGCCAAAGACCTAAGAGCTGTAGCATTCCTGAAAAGTCCAAGTTCACATTTTTTCTGAGATTTAATGCAAACACTTAGCTACAAGCCTTTGTACAAATGAAAAGGAAATTTAACACATCCACCATTCAGTGGCACAAAATAGACCTTACCATTCTAAAAAGTTTAAATAGAGGACACAAACGAATGGGAATAACACAAGACCAGAATCTAGCAGGGCAAGCATTACATCCTGTAATTGTATGTCCAACATTGGATGCAATCTGGCAAGATACGAAACTCCAAAAGACTTGTGTAACTCCACCCATATGGTACTTCTGGTGATTGTAGCTCTTGTGGTTTCTCTTGTGGGCCCACTCTGCTCACTTTGTGCAGGTTTCCTCATGTGATCAATGTTTCTGGCTTCTCCCGAGCTTCTAGGATCTCCACTAGCTTCTGCTAAAGCTATATACTCACAGCTTTACACACTGCCTGACCTCCCAGGCCTTCTTCTGAAATCGAGGTGGAAGCCTTCCTAACTCCACAACTCTTGCATTCTGCATGCTCCTATAACCAGTGTTATGTGGATGATGCCAAAGTCTGCTGCCAGTGGAAGCAGTAGCCAGGCTTGGAGTCATGCACAGGGTTGTTGCTATGCCATTATCTGGCCATGTGCTTTAGGAATGTTTGGAACTGGCTTGTGGGAAGAATTTGGAAAGATTTGGGGAAAAGCCAGATGAAAAAACAGCCCTGGAAGGACATAAGCTTTACTTGATGGGAGATTCTGGTTAATGCTCAGAGGACAAGAATGCTGATTGAAAGGCTGCCAGTAAAGATCAGGCTCAGGAGGTTTCTGCTGGGAAGGACTGTATTGGCTCTTAGATTCCAGACCATGTGTGTTACAGCTAGGCAGAAAGTTTGTCTACATTTTGCCCATGTCCAGAGACTTTGCTTGAGACTTAGATTAAGGTGGCGGATTAATTAATCTTGTATAAGAAATTTCAAGGCAGTCTAATGTTGGTGGAGTGGCATGGCTATTGTTGGGGGCTTTTAGCTAGATTTATGTTGACAATCAAGAGCAAATAACCTAATAGAATGATTTAAAACATTGAGTTTGGCCACAAAAGAAACTGTAGGAAAGTTATGGCCTATAAAGATGGAACAAGAAGGAATTAGTTGCTGGAAAGACTATCAAGAAAAAGCCAAGTATTTCAGAAGAAGAGAACAGAAAAGATGGCCTGAGCACATCACAAGAACCAGCAGGCCTCTAGACTTCGCAGCTTTAGAGTTACAAAGGTGAAAGACTGCTTTGAAAATAGCCCCAGAGTACTATGTTCCAGAATGGCAGCCATCTAGACAATTTGTTCCTTGGGATTGGGTTCAGAGTGCTCCGTGAACCAGGCACTCAAACCTCACAGCTGTAACAGAAGAAAGAAAGCCTACTTGTCTAACTGGTGGCATACCTTGGCATTATCCACATGGTGCTGGTTTTGGGTACACGCAGAATGTAAGAGTTGGCATGCAAGATTTCAGAAGATGATCTGGGAGTCCAGGCAGTGTGCTCCTGAGAGGGCAGAGTGAAGTTGTGAGTGTGAAGCCAGAGATGCAGAAGGTTGGAGAAGCTAGGAGAATGGATTGTCTGGGAAAAACTGCAAGAAGTGAACATAGCAGACCCAAGAGAGGTGCAATGGGAGCCACAGCCAACCACCATGTCTTAGGGGTGGAGCCATCCAAGCTTTGGAGTTCACAGCTTGCCACAGATTTCTGGGTGATGCTGGACATGGAACCAAGGGATTTAATGCTTATCCTCCTGGGTTTTTGTCTTGCATTGTTCCCATTCTTTATTGTCCCCATTTAGACCTTTTGGAATGGTTATATCTATCTTGGGCAACTGAATGGTGGATGAGTTTAATTTCCTTTTCATTTATACAAGGGCTTGTAGCTAAGTGTTTGCTTTAAGTCTCAGAAAAAAATGTGGACTTGGACTTTTCAGGAATGCTGCAGCTCTTCGGACTTTAGCGACTCTTACAGACGGACTAAATAAATGCCTTTGCGTAAAGGGAAGTATGTGAGTGTTTGGGGGTTCAGGAGTGAAATGTTAACGACTTGTGTATAGATGACCTCTCAAAGCTTTATGTGGTTTTAAGTGGAGTCTTTTCACAAGCAACTGGATCTAGAGTAGCCATGCTGCGATTAAGGTATGTCATTACTAAATTAGTCCACTGATTGGTTTGGCATTGTTCTAGATATGAGTGCTATTTGCCCTAAGGGTAGCTCATATACAGTATAAAGGGAGAGAAAGAGCTGCTATTACCGCTTGTCATTCACTTGCTGCCATGAATTATTTCTGCTGTGCGATGCCCCTCACTCTGTCATGCCACCCTGCCTTGGAATCAACCAACCATGAACTGAAATTTTTACGAACTGTGAGCCAAATAAACCTTTCCTCCTTTAGCTTTTGGTATTGGATATTTTGTCTCAGCAATGAAGAAGTAACTAAGATATGCACTCTGAATTCAAGATTCAAAATAAACATTTCACTGGTTTCCTGAATAGAAAACAATATGTAGTTAGAGTGTATTTGTTGAAATACTTAAGGTTACTCTATTAACCTGGGATGTATCATGGCCTTTCGAAGCATTTGGTATTTGAGAATAAACACCACAGTTTATGATGAGTATTGTCTATTCAAGGTTACAATTTGGATTCATAGACTAATAATGCTGTTGTGGGAAAATGATACTAATCTTTTCAGAAGTAACATTGCCTTAGATTTTTTTCTTTGTTTCTTTCTACTAGCTTGGCATGGGAGCAAGGAGAGATTTGCAGTTGGAAGGGCAAAAATGAGCATAAGTTCTGTTCTGTCCTTTCCTTCGTCAGAATCTTCAAATTTCTAGTTTCACTGAAATTATTTTGAGTATAACTACTACCATTATCATTTTCATTTTTTAAAATATTTTTGAGAGAGTTGTATGCATAATACTTCTCAGGAGGTGTCACTCTTCTAATTTTGCTTGGTACTGCTAGAGAAGAAGGGAGTAAGGAAAAGATATATGGAATAGCCAGAAGATACCACTGAAGGTGTAGACAAAAGTGGGATTTACTGTCAGGGATTCCTAGCCAGAAGTTTCTTTAGGCATCTTTACGCTCTAGAAAAAGATAATGGAAATACTCAGTGTCAGCTTTCTTCCAAAAATCTAAATTAATGTAATTTGTTAATTACTGATAAAGCAAATCTGATAACAGTGTTTAAGTTATAATTACATTTATATCTATCTACCATGAATATGTGTAAGTAATTATAACATTACTTATTATTAGAACTTGTTAAATATCAAATCAGTACACATAAACATGGGATTCTTGTGTATAAAGGCATGATTAATATTGATTCGTTTTTTTCCCTTTTTTCATTATAGTACCAGCATGCAGTGCAGCAGCAACAGTTATTTCAACAACAGTTTTTAATGCATCCAGTATATCAGCCACAACCACCACCATCACAGTACCCTACAGTGGTAAGTGCTGTATAGTTTCTAGCGATTTCTCTGAGTATATATTATAATTCTGAAACAGTATAAATGATAGTATACAGAATCTAACAATTCAAAATTAGTTCAAGTTAGTGAATTGACATGTATTTCATTGACAGTCATATATTCTCCAGTAGCCTTTAATTGTGCTGACCTGTGGAACCTGAAATTGCACATGGCAGTTGACTGATATCGTGCTTCTTTTATAAGGAAAATGATCTACTACTTAGTCTTTTGCCCTGTGTGTCCCTTTCATTCAGTAATTATCTGTTGAATAAAATGAAACTTAAAGGAAAAATATGTGTGCTTCAGATTCATGTACTTTAGGGTTTTTTTTTACAGTAACTATTACACTAGGGTTTTTAAGTACTGCTTTTTCTTAAAATATTTGCCATGTTCATGATGGGGCAGTACTTCATACATCTTACTGCTTGGTGGCTTGACCCACAAATGGTACATGCAGTGCATGGACTGTACCATTTGTATCATCAGTGGTACAAGTGGGTTGATGGGACAGTCATGCATGTATCATTGATGGTATAACCTGCCTTATAGCACAGTCATGCCTATACCACCTGTGGAAATGTGATAAAGAAGGATTTAAAAAAATGGCTATGTGAGCCTAGGTTCACAATTTTTTAAATAGTTACCATTTATCCTATTATAGTTTTCTAGTTAATAGAGCTTGTCCTTCAAATATCCATTGTTTTCTAGGGTTTTAGTTTGCCACTAGTTTGGAAAGGAAGAAATATAGTAAATATTTGCGAAACTGAAACTGCTTTGGTGAGTTGAGGGTTCATTTGGATGGTGTTGTTTGTTGTTTCAGATGCAGCAATATCAGCAGGGTTTCTTACAGCAGCAGATGCTAGCTCAGCATCAGCAGTCTCGACAGCAGGCATCACCGGAATATCTCACCTCCCCTCAAGAGTTCTCACCAGCTTTAGTTTCTTACACTTCATCACTTCCAGTTCAGATCGGAACCATCATGGACTCCTCTTACAGTGCAAATAGGCAAGTATTTTTCCTGTCAGTGCAAAGTAAATTATTGTGGAAGTGGATGCAGTTGTTCAGTGGAGCAATTCTGTAACTCTTAAATTAATTTAGATTCCATCTTGTTGTAGAGCCCCTTATTTTTCTTCATAGTCTTCTCTTCTGTTCTCTGAATCCTTATCCTTTATTTTTTTCCCACCAGTCCTGCTATGATTTATCGATAGGCTTAGTAATATCCGGCAGCATTTAGAGCTCTACCACTGAGTTGTACACACAGTCCTTCCTTTTCCTGTTTTTAGTGAGGAAAATCATTTCATTCTTATCATTGGGCACTTTCAAATATGTCTTGCTTTTGCAAATTCATTAGGTAACTGCTTGCATTTCATAGTTTATATTTTAGTGCCTATAGTTTAATCCAGCCTTATTATTTACAATATGCTGTTGATTTTATTACAGCATAGTGATATGTGTGCAAAGCAAAAAGTTGTAACCAGAGTAGGAAAATGACAGCAGATTCAGCCTTTGCAGGGAGGAGTTGTGTACACACATACTTTTTTTGGTGTTGCTGGGGATTAACCCTGTGCTTCAGGCACGTCAGGCAAGTGCTTTACCAAACAGCTACATCTCCAGCCCTTGTAGACATACTTTAATGTCCTCAAACTTTAGGTTAAGATGACACACTGTTGAATGTAGTCTACCAAGAATTCATACATATATCTCAGGAATGAGGCTGTGTGATTCAGACAGGAAATCAGAAAGGGATTATTATTAACAGACAGGAGGGGCCATACTCTTTAAGTATTCTCTTCCCTGCTCTGTGTTCTGAAAATGTTTAAAAACAATTTTGGGGTTAGAGGTGGGCTTCTGTCCTACAGAGGTAGATTTGGGCCATGGCAATACTTAAGTTTTATTTACTAAGCAAGTTTGTGTTCTGATTTCTAAGTATATTACTATTTTTCTCTCTGTACAATAATGTTCAGTAATTGTTTGAACATTCTATTCTTGGCTGAGATATGCTAAGGGAATTTAGAATTAAGGGATTAACTGGACATCTTACCTTTTCCCTGGTAAGACCAATGTAGTGGCAGTGAGAGTAAGTTGCTAGGGGGAAAGTGAATTGAAAAGGATGAGTTAAATCGTCCAAAATTGAGGTATTTCTTTGAATATGGAAATTCTCCCTCCACTGTCAGTATTAAACAGTGTGGTTCTCAATTACGAAACGAGTTGGACAGCTTTGTTACATTACCTCATTCATATATTGTGGTTCCAAGACTTGGGTTGAGGGAGAGATACCCAAGTACTCTTGAGTTAAGTCTTTGGACTCGTATTTTCCTGAATAGCCCAGAAGCCTGTCAGGTAACTCCCAAAGAGCAAATGCTGTCAGGTTCTAAGTTGCTTTAAGCAGCAGCATTAACTTATTATAAATATGCAAAATAACCATTGCTTAATTCAACTGCTTCATGAAGCGATCTTAGGAGCTTATCCTCTGTGGATAACTATATGTAAGGAATACCTTTTTCAAAAGAAAAACTGATTTAGTACCCTGCATAACTAGCATAGTATTGAGTAACGAGTTACTTTGGAAAAATACTGTTTGGTGGTAGGTGTTTCTCACTTACAAACTTGTGTACTATGAAAATAATAATATTTATCGAGTGCTTCTTTTATTATTTTTCCTAGGTATTATTCTTCTTGCTTTACTTGTCTTAAATCATTTAATCTCCCCAGTAACCTTGTGAGGTATATACTGTCACTCTTCTGCTTTACCTGCAGAAGCTGAGGCACAGATGGGTTAAGGACCACAGCTAGTGTTCTTTACACAAGAGATGATGGAACTAGTGTTTGTGGTTTAGATCCCAGTTGCTCTTTCTCTCCATTCCATACTCACAGTCTGCCATCTCCATTACAGTAAAATGGCCTAGTTATTTATACATTTATAAAGTATGAATTAGTACACTGTACTTTTAAAAATTCTGATGTTTTTGTTTCCCTTATTTTTCTTCTCTCAAATGTTGTATAGGTCAATGTCTGAGAAAGACACAGTTGGAAGTTTTACAAATCAGAAGAATGTCAGTAACCCACCTGATATGTCAGGATGGAATCCTTTCGGAGAGGATAATTTCTCCAAGTTAACAGAAGAGGAATTGTTGGACAGAGAATTTGACCTTCTAAGATCAAGTAAGGGACACTTGAAGGCTTATTTTGCATCAGAATAAAATGACAACTTTATAATTATTCAGCAAGGCCAAAGAAGGTTTTGAGGTGGTATATATAGAAAATTCTTTTTGTGCATTTGAGGGCAAAATTCAGGCCATCTTTCACATTTACTATCAAACTACATTGTGTGCATTAGAGATTAGTTGCTTGATAGTAGCTGTAAAACCCAAGATTGCTGATAGTATGCTAATATCCTGACATTTAAATACTGCATCTCTATGAATGTTAAAATCAGAATATCTCCCAAACCTGGAAAATTAATGTTCAAATAAAGAAGGAGACATCAGTATCTTACCTTACCAGTCATTTTCTAGCTCTGATTATTTGCACACTCAATTGAAAATATTATGGGTCTGACATGTCTTTCAAAAATGCCTGAAAGAAAATGGAGGCTACTACATTATGTTAATGTTCTGTAATACCTTTTTAATTAGTGGTCACAGAAAAGGACTGCTTTGTTGTCCTGATATGGCAAAAGTTAAATAAATTATTTTCTACTTTAAATCAGTTATCTCAATGTTTTTACTTGGTATCATTCATTGCCTTTAATTCATATATGTCAGGCCTCCCCATACCTATCTTAGAAATGTTCTTTTTTTTTTTTTTTTTTTTGAAGCAGGTTCCTGGATGTTTTGAGATTTGTAAAATAGGGTCATAAAGCTTACTTCTGGATAACCAGATAATTTTTAGGTTTCTGAGGTATGTGTGCACATGCACACGAACATACACGTGTGTCTTTAGCTTTTGCATGTGGAAAGAAGGTCCCAGTAGTGCCCAGTTCTGCTTTATATTTAGTTAATTGGCTTTTTGAATACATTTAATACATGAAATGTTTTATTCCAAACTATATTTTATGTAAAACTTATGAATTCCTTACCTTCATATAAGGATTCTTGTTTGGGATTTAAACTTGTATTTTACATATTGGGTATATATTATGAAAGCCTAATTGATGATTAAATATAGATATACAAATGAGTTCTGCGCTCTTAATAAAGTTTGCTAGCTTCGGTAAAACCAGTCTTACATGTTAGTCCATTTTTTTAACCACGAATTTTTTGTTGGAATTTTGTACTGTATTTTATGTTAAATAGCCCCCAAAGCACAGTTTTTTTTAAAAGAAATTAATCTCTCCCTTTTGAAGGAACAGTGGGGAGAAGATAGAAGGAGTACCCAAATTGTAACTTACAGAATTATTTTAAAAGCATAAGGTATTCATTTTAATATGTTCTGACAGGGGTATGCTAAATGAGTATTTCCTACACCTTGGGAATTTTTTTTTAATGTACTAGGGCTTGAACTCAGGGCCTTGAACTGCATCCCAAGGGCCCCCACCTTTTTTTAAATCAATTTGTGGAGTAGGTAAAGAATATTCTTTTTGTACCACATAAAATGTGGTATTCTAAGCGTAGAATCATAATGACACTTTGTTTCATTTGGCATAGGCAAGAATGTTATAAAGAATATGTGTTTGTGTAACTTCAGCAATATTGGGCTTAGTGTCTAAAATCTTGAACGAGCTATTTATTTTCAAACATCAATGTCAGATAATATGTATAGTTTGTACATTATGTGTACACATGTATGCCAAAGGTAGATTAGACTTCATTGTAGTGTTCATTATATATAGGTACCAATAAAAACAGAAAGAGCTTTATCTGAAGGTCAAACTTGGAGCAGCCTCTGCCATTTGGAAAACAATCATTCCCATGCTACTGAAATCCGTACCACAAGACCTTTGCATTTAATTTAACACATAATATCAGAAAATAGGATTTTGATTCCTGACAATGACATTTAATAAGGTTATAATTTCAGTCACTCAGCCCCTGGCAGTCTCACAGCCCTTTTTTATAACCTGGGATAAATGGTACCTACTTTATGACGTTCTGTGGAGAACTTAATGAGATAATGCCTTTCTTTAAAGACACTGGTAAATAAACATCACTTTCTATTTCCTAACCTTCTGTATAATTCTTTAGACTATGTCTTGAGGTTTTTTGCCTTCAGTTGGTATTTAAAAATTATATCTAGATGATCAAGTTATTCAGCTGCTCACTTAAAAGTTAAATTAGAAGTGACATTGTGGGCAAATGTCAGTAGCAGAAGAAACAACAAGGAAATGATAGAAAATGATGTTTTTTCCGCATTTACAGCCATTGTACTGGCCCAAGCATCTTCAGTGAAGTTTGTAAAGAGATTAACAATGTATAGGATGTGTCATTCAGAAACATTTTCTCTCACAGTTTTACTTCACTGTAATGTTCGGTCATTTTTACTATCTCTTTAAGATACAAGCAGTATGTATGTATGTAATATTTGATCTGCTTAATGGGGTTTAAATTACACTGATAGGCGAATGAACTCTCTGTCAGCTCCTTAAGAATTTAGTAGAATCAGTAGAAAACTGATTACAATGAAAATTGGTGGCATTACTGGGTGGTTTTTCTCTTTCTAATGACTTTTCTAAAATGAAGAAATAAATTACTGATGCATTTGAAATACCAAACAGCATTATTTGTGCCTTGTTTCTTGGCACAAATACTTGTTAATGATTGCCAGAGTTGCTTCTAAAACAATTTATAGTTAGTTTTAAAATGCTTTCCTGTGTTATACTGAAAGTCTTTACATGGTCCTTAAAAATATAGGTATTGTTCATATAGTGACGTACTGGTTGTGAAGCAGTCTACAGTCAGAATCATACATTTGCAATTAAGGTTTTTCTTATGAAGTGCTATATAGTTATTTCTGTAAAAAATAGAGAAAAGGATATGTTTTCTAGGATTTATTTTACTTTTGTGTATTTTCCAGAAGATTTTAAAAGAATGGTACCATTTTGAAATATTAATGTTAGTAATTGATAATAACTTTTTTGGTGGTCTTTTGGAAAATAGTTGGTATACATATAAACAAAGAGACAACATTAAAATAAACTTGTTTTTTACTTGCTTTGTAAGTGAATGATGTTTATGGTTCAGAAGTTTCAGCAGAGGTAATAAAGCTTGTATAATATATATTTTTTTAAACTTAAGCTTATATTTGTCATTGTCTTTTGTACCAAACATCCAGATTTGGATGGCATTACATATCTAATTGTCATACTTAATATGTTACATATTACATATGCAATTTACATATCTAATTGTCATACTTAATATGTTATACTAATTAGAGTTGAGGTATTTGGAGAAATTATTGAAATAGTTATTAATAAGAATAATAGTTAAAATATTTTGATGGTGGATTTGTTTGTTTAAAATTTCATCAAAATAAGTAAAAAGTAAAAATGGAATATCCCAAAGATTGTGATTACTGTGCCATTCTATTGAATGTTTTATGTATGAGGCCACAGAATAAAATAGATATAAATATCTGAATATGTAATTAGTTTACTATAGAACATTAACTTTCACTTTTTTGTTAGCTGATTTAGGCCTATTACTGTGCTTTCAGTTCAGACTAACATGCTTTTCAGGTGCACTAGAATAGTTTTAGGAGTATCAGATGAAGACTACTTTTTAAAACTTTAGTTAACCTTTCTTTTTAGCCTTTTCAGTTACTATCCATGTAAGCACGGAACTGAATGAACTTCATAGAATTTTTAAATTTCATGGTGATACAATTGAATACCTTGATTCAAGGTATTCAGGGATTTCTGTATTTTTCTCATGTGTATTAGTTCAAATTCTTGAAGACAGTTGTTTTGTTAGCATAATTCTTTGGGAAGGCAGGAAGAGGTAGGTGGGTTTCTTACATTAAAAAGTTTTTTAAAAAAGTGAAAAAAAATACTGAGAATTTATTGTGATATAAAGAAACCAGTCATTTGAAAAGCATCCTTAAGTACATTTTGGGGCTGACTGTATTTGAACAGTAGTTCTATCTAACCATTTTATTTTTATTTATAATCATTTAAAAACTAATGTGTATTCATTTTGTATTTTGTGTCCAGCTTATCATAAACTTTAGAAATCCAAATGTTTTTAAAAACATTTCATTAAAACAATTGTTTTAGGAAGAATTGAAAATATGATTTTGTTTGTTTTAATATGAATTCGTTGTTTTAAAGTAATTTCTGTTTTAAAATAATGAACTTTGCATTGAACAATGTCTCCCATAGTTGTACTTATGGGGATTCCTATAAAAACTAATTTGCTGCTACATGACAATGCTTTGTACTCTTGTCATAATTGTGCAGTGTTCCTTATATATACAGTATCATAATCCCCAACATGGATTAATGGACACAATGTACCAAGTGCATAAGGATTCAAAGAGCCTTGGTAGCAATTTTGCATTTTATAATCTGGAAACCATTGATATAATAGTAGTTTATAAATTGAAAAGTACGTTAAAATGCAGATTCCCGAGCTTCTACTCAGATAATAATCCCTTAGGTCTAGGTTACTTCATTTAATATAGGAATCCTAGCAGTTGGACTTTCAAGAACGAGGGCTCTTGGATATTGCTATACAGTGGTTATCATTTTGTGTTGCCTGTTCTTTCCCAGTTCTGATGTCCTTTGTCCTCACTTTTGTATACCAGAATCTTGAGGATGGGAGATAGAAAAGGAGTGGGAAGTCTAGGACAAGACATACTTCCTGGGTCACTGTTACACTGTAATTGCATTCAGAGCTTGATAAAAAAGGTAATTCTCTAATTCAGTGACTCTTAAATCCAGTTATGGCTCATCAGTCAAATAAGTTAATGATCTTTTGTTATGTATTTTTGAACCCTTTTTAGAAAGATGCAATGAAACTAGCTTTCTTTAAATAGGTGTTTCGACAATAAAATGTTAAAAAATTTTTTTAGAATGCACGTTAGTTAAATTTGTCCTGCAGTGGTAGTGAATGAGGCATGTGCTGTGGGGACTGTTTATTGTGATAGTACGCCTTAAGCACTTTCAGTGATAGAAGGCATGTGTTCCATAGGTTTGCCACCAGTACTCTAAAAGGTCCCCATCACTGTGGGGATGCAGCTTTTACTTGGGGATTTTTGCTTCAATCTTAAGTCACAAATTGTTTATAAGCATTCAGTTCTACTTGTGTTTCCCATTCCCACCCTGTAGTACCTTAGGGTACCTTAGAATTTGGTTGGAACCAGCAGAATTAGGAATTCTTTAACATAGACAAGTCTGACTCTGAATTGTATTGCTTTGAATGTGATGGACAAAGGTATAATCCTGGGGATGCCTAAAATATATGGCTGAATAGGTCTCAAATAACATACTTTTAATAGCTAAGAATCAGGAAAGAGACAGTCTGCAAAAATCTGGAAGTTTTCAGCTGATACATGTCATTATGTGGAGAGTTTATAAACAACAAAAAGATAAATATACTACAAAATTAAGACACATCAACTCTGCCTCTAACATAATAGTCCTTGTCATGGGTGTGCTCTGGCCCTTCCTCTTCCTGGGAGTTGTTCACCAGGTATCCACTTCCTGGCCTCCTTTAATTCTTTTCTCACCTACTAGCTTACCTGGTGATTGTTACCACTCTGTTACTACCTACTCCTTTAATTCCTTTGTGCTGCATTTTTCTCTATATCTTCATTAGTCAGTGTGTCTGTCTGTCTCTCTCTTTCAAAACATTTCTTCTTTGCTCGTTGCTTGTTCTGCCATCATATAAGCTGAGGGTAAGGGTCTTTGTTTTGTTTCATGTTACATACCAATTGCCTAGAACAGTGCTTGGCCTATACTAAATGCTAATCCTGTATATTTATCTGTGGTTTTGTATGTATGTGAATGATTGATGATAAAATACAAAGTAAATTGAGAAATGAATAATAAAGTATAGTGAATTACTTTTTATTGAGAAATATGATTTACCTATTTATATGGGTTAATGACAATTATATATTCTCTCATATAGTTTTTAGAGAAACTATGTCAAATGTCATTTGTTTAGTAAATAGGGTTTACAGTTAGGTCCAATATGTTACAATATTACAGATAATTTATTATTTAAATGAACTACATGAGCTTACTTAATTAGGTTAATTGTATTTAACTTAACGTAGTGCTGAGAATATTGTGAGACTTGCCTGTAGCAAGACATAATGTATTAGGCTCAAGATTATGCCTTACTACTGAGAACAGTGCAACACTGAATCTAATACTTCTCAAAAGGCTAGTTTGTTTCACTTTTTATTTATATAGAAGTATATCACTTTTGATTTAAAGAACATTTTTCTTTTTTATTTTGTTTTATCTTATTTTTGCAGACAGGCTCGAGGAGAAAGCATCCTCATATAAGAATGTAGACCCACTTTCTGCTCCATGTACCCATCCTCCAGAAGATCCTTTTGGTTCTGTTCCTTTCATTTCTCATTCAGGCAAGTTACACATGTAACATCACTATCATTAAAATATGAACACAACAACAAAACTTTATGAATATCAAATGATAGTAAAACTCAGATGTCAGTTATAAAAGTAGACAAGAATTTTATTTTAACGTTTAGCCACCCTTATCTTCCTAACGTCCCATTGGAATATTCAGGTGTACCTTTGCCAACATAGAAAAATGTAGATTTACATAATAGAAACATAACTATTTTTTCAACTCTCTTACTGGATGCTATTTTTAAAAACCCATGCCTGAAAATGTCTCCACTTTTCATAATTAAAATATATCTAAAGATATTTTTATTCTTAGCCTTGGCCTAAAAATGTGGTATTTTCTGGTTTACACATTTTGTCTTGGAGTTGCATTTAAAAAAATAGTAATAGTAGTTTTTTTTTGCGTCATAGTTATTTTCTTTTAGCTAATTTTTTCTTATAACAGCCCAACTTTTGATTTCAGTCCACAATTTAAATATTGATGGTATTCAATAGTAAAAAATATTTTTAGTGATAATTTCAAGGTAATCACACTGTGTTAATACTGGGAAAATAGTAGGATGGAATAGAATCTCACTTTGGCATAAATGAATTCTTTATGCATGTGTAGTAGAGAAAAAATGAGTTTAAATCTTGGTGAAGGAAGTTGTGTAAGAAGACATTGTGTGCTTATTAAAAGGTGACGATTTAGTTAAAGATCGTCAAGGTAACTGCCAGCCTTGTTTTTTGGTTCTCTCCTTTTATTCCTCTGGTAAATTACATCGTAACAGCGTCACTACCATTTTCAAGGTATATGCAAGGATAACACTGAAAGGAAAACTTGGGAATGTAAAGCTAAAATACGAATTACATGTTTAGGATTTCTGGTAGATACTTGCAGCTTTTGAATATTCAGATTTAGTTATTGAGTACATATAACACAGTAATGAGATTGTTTCTAACCCTTTCATACTTTCAATAATAGTCTTTGCTATTATTGAAAACAGTCAATATTGTTAACTATATTCTGCTTGCTGCCCTCAAGATACCTCTTTCATGTATGACATGATATCCTTAACTAGAATAGCTACCTGTGTAATTAATCTGCATAAATGTGATCTTCAACATGCCTAATATTCTAGTATATAAAAGTAGTATTTCTCCTTTAATTACATCTCAAAATTGTCTTTGTTAACTTTCAAGAACTAATGACTTCATATACTCATTTGTGTACAGAAAGTATTTTCTAGCTTTTTCTGATACTCTGTAAGGAGTTGCACTGTGCTTTTCATATTGACTTGGACCTGTGCAAGGACTTCTTGGTTCTTTAATAGCTCCTGATAGTACCCTGGCAAAATGCTAGCAGATTTTAGAAACTGGAGTAAATCTCAACAGTTGATCTTTTCTGTGGATACTCTTAGTTGAAGTTGAAGTTGATCTAGAGATTTTGAAGTTGGCAGTATGCTTATAGATTGAGCTTAATAGTTGCTATTATGTCGTTTAACATATATATATTTAATTCTCTTGGGTTGTAAGCATGATTGTCTTTTGGTACTGTCCAGTAACCAACCCAGTCCCTATCTAATAATAGTCATTGAATGTATGAAAAAATTATGACTAGTTTAAAAAAATTGACTGCACTTGCTTCAGCAGCACATATACTAAAAAAATTATGATTACCCGTAAAAGATAGCATTTGATATAAATGTCCTTCCACCAAAAAGTTTACTTGACATGTTTGTGTGAACATGAATATTGGGAAGATTTGAATATGAAAAATTAAGTAAATAGAATAAAAGAATAAATGGTCATCGGTAAAATGTGCCTCCAGAGGAAAAAGAAGTAATCACTGTATTAGTATTCTTAAATTGATATTTATTAAATTAGAAAAATGTAACTAAAGCAAAAAATGTAAAATAATATAATGTCACTGACCTATGTATTACTAAGCTTAAATATACTTTATCATATATAATTTTTAAGGAAAAATGAACTATTGAGAGCATTCATCTTCTTTTTATAGTAAGACAATTGAATCTACTGAAAACTTATTCTCTCCATAAGTGTATCTGATAAGCTGTTTTAGTTGACCTTGAGAATTAATTATTACTAGAATTTAATTTTAATTAAACCATACAAAGAATGTACTTGAGAATAAAAAAAAAAATTCACCTGACAGAGTGGTAAGAATTTAGCAAGTTACATACATTTAAGAACCACTATCTTGAGTCTGGTGTTCTTACACTGGTTTTAGTAGGAATTTGGTTCTTTTTATGTAAAGAAAATTCTTTTAGAACTTTTATTACATTTTCTTTTCTGGTGATCCTGGGGGTCAAATCCAGAGCCATACGTTAAGCAAGTGCTTTATCTTGGAGCTACCCTTTAAATCTTGACTTTGTAAAAGATTAGTTTTTGTTTTGTTACTCTTTAGTTTATCATTACTTTAAAATATACTTTTTTGTTGCTTTTTGGTGTTGGCAATTGAACCAGGACTTTGCACGTGCTGGGCAACTGTGCTGTAGCTGAGTTGTGTCCCTAGGCCTGACTTGTTTTTAAGATGCAGTCTTACTGCTTTGTCCAGGCTGGTCTTGAACGACTGGTTTCCAGTGATCCCCCCTTTCCATTTGAAAAAGATCTCCCTACTTCCTACTGTTTGTCTTTTATTTTAGTCTTGACTTATATATTGGGTTCTTGTATAAGAAAAATAAAACGGAATATTTTAAGCTTGCATATTTGACTAACTTCACTTAATATTATGGTCTCAAGATGTATCCATTTTCCTAAAAATGACTTGTTTATCCTTCATTGTGGCAGAGTGGTACTCCACTATGTATGAATACCATATTTTCTTTATCCAGTCATCTGTTTATGGGCATTTACACCACTTGCAAGATTTAGCTATTATCAATTGTACTGCTATAACCATGGGTATGTATAGATTTGTATAATATCTTTAACTCTTTCAGGAAGTTTCTTAAAATGTGTGACATATGATTGCATATATATATCTCCTTTCCTCTGTCCTTCCATCCTAGTTTTTTTTGGTACCGGAGATTGAACTCACGACCGCTTTCAAGGCAGGTATTTAATGCCATTGAGTTAAATCCCTGGCCTCACCTCATAGTTTTGATACAGCTTTTGGTTGAATCAGTGTTCAATCAGCATATTTTTGAATATGTAAGTATTTGTCCTTGCTGAGATGTTCAGTATACCATTATTACTTCTGTAAGATTTTGTTTTTCCTGGAACTGATTACCTTGTTCATAATTACTATAGTTTTAAAAATGTGTCTTGTCATTAATTTATATCCATTTGGAAGTATAAATTCCCTTGTAATTTAAAGTGGCTATCCTTTTCATTTTTGGTTACATCTCAGAGTTCAGCAATGTGGGCAGTACATGTACTTATAATCCTAGTATTTTCTTTCATTCTTTAGCTTTCTGAGAAATTTCTGTCTCTTCCGTTCCCTTTTCTTGGTCTATTGGCAGAGCAACTAACTCTTGAGAAAGTATTTATGGTAGGAAGAGTTTTAAACTTTGTGGCCTAAAAATACCTTTGTTCACCAAACTTTAACTTATTTGCTTGTGAATTGATTATGGGGTAGATATATATTCTCTGAATTTTGCAGGTATTGCTTCAGTGTATTCTACAATTTTGCATATTGCTACTAAGAAATATGGTACCATTTGATCACACTGATCCATTGTCCATGACTTACTGTGAGTTCCCCCCTTCTCTCTTGTCACTTTTAGCACCTTTAATTAACTTGCTATAAATATTCAAGACACTTGATATTATCTTGGGCCATTTTTTACCACTGTACTTGAGCCTTGGGCCTTTTCAATTCAGAAAGTTACATTTTTTTGCTTTATATCTTTGGTGATTTTCCTTTCCTTCCCTGCCTCCTTGCCTCCCTCCAGTTTTTCCTCCTTCCCTCACTCTCTGCTTATCTTCCCTTTTTAAAAAGGATATTATGCCTTATAAATTGATCTTACAAAATTTTCTCATTTTTCTGTCTCTGTGCCTTTTATATTTACATTGAGGAATTCCTCTAAATTTATATTACTTTTAATTTGCAAATAGTGTCATTTCTTGGCTGCAGTATATTTTCATTTTTTGAGAATATTGTAGTTTGCCCATTTTGTCATGATTTTTCTTGTCTACTCTTTCAATTTAAGAATTTTAATAAATGAATAGTAATTTTTTATTTCCCAAACAAGGTAGCACTTACACTGTGACTTGAGGATGTGAAACATTGCATAGCAGGTGCAGTGTTCCTCAGGTGTGAGACAAAATCCTTTAACTTGATTGAGCTTGCTGAATGGGAAGTGTGATGGAGTCTTGGGGGAAATGAGACTGTGGTAGTGCCTAGTCTTGGATCCATTCTTGAATTTGATATGCTCTAACCATGTTGTACTTTCTTAAAATACAATGCTGGTTTTCCTTAATTCATGGAAGATACTGGGCTTTGGTGTTTTTATTTTGTTTTTCCTATTAGTTTTGTGAAGTTTTATTTCAGAATTGTGTTGAGTTGGGAAGTAGTACTTGTATATTCTCTAGTAGTTTATGATTTTTTTCTTCCTTAAACATTTAGTAGAATTTACCTGTGAAACAAACTGGGCTTATTAAAAATTTTCTTTGTAGGAAGATTTTTGAACACAAAATTAGTTTCTTTAATTATTGTTCAAATTTGTTTCCAGTGTAATTTTTTTTTTTTTTTTTTGAGACGGATCTCACTATGCAGTTCAGGCATGGCCTTAAACTTACTATATAGGCAGGCTGGCCTCAGACTTGGGGTTTTTGCTTCAGCTTCCCTGCTGGGATTATTAACATACTTGTTATGCTGGGATTATTAACACACTTGTTATGAAACACAAGACCTGGTATCCAGTGTAAATTTTGAAATTCGAATTTTTCCACTTCATCAGTGGTATTGAATTTTATTGACATAGAATTTTTCATGATTTCCAGTGTCTTTCTTTTAAAATGAGAAGAATATCCAGATGTGACTGTT